ACAGACAGAAAGAGAGACAGACAGACAGACAGACAGACAGACAGACAGACAGACAGACAGACAGACAGACAGACAGACAGACAGACAGACAGACAGACAGAGTGTGTTAGACTATATCATAAACTTGGCAGCCGGGCGAACTGTGGGTGGATGAAACTAAGCCGTTGTTGTTTCAATGCACAAACCAAGAGCATTGCTTCATATATGGCTTTGCATCAACTCCGCAGGAATGTGGATTGTCAAGAGTTCGTGTGGGTTTGGTCTACAGCAAGAACCGCCTGGCCGCTCCACTGCACGACTGGAATGACCCATAGTTCTCGTCCCCACCAAACATCTGGCTTAGCTGGCTTCGCCAGGCTTTTTGTACTTTGTGTGCTCGTTTCGCAAAGTGTGAAACCGTCAGCCACAACCTTTTGAATGACCTAGGTAAGCCAATGACCACCAAAGGCCAAAAATGTGCAAACCGCCATCCACAGCCCCTGAGCGCTTACATCCTAAAGTCGTACATCGCACGGCAGAGCCCCCACCGCAGCCCACTTGTGTAGAAATTGTCCTACTGTTCCTCAAATCCCTTATAACGCAGTAGTAGTGTAGGTCACCTTTAACCTTTTCGGGGTACTATANNTAGTTCCCCTAGGATACTGGACAAGATAATCATAGCACCATAGCCCAGAACCCAATCTATAGCTAGCTGGGCTCGTAGGGAGATCCGCAAACCAAACTTCCTACAGAACAAATGAAAGCCATCAAGCCCATTGAACGGTGTTCAGGTTCAGGGCCTTGGGGGTCCTACATCCTAAACCCTCAACATCTCCAAGTTCCCACTAAGCAGCCGTACTAGGGCTTGGCTTCCTCTACATCGCCATGATCCCCATTGGACAGCTGCTGACAGCAGTCGCTTGCAAGCGATGTTAGGATTTAGGACGATAGAGCTTGGGATGATCAGGGTTCAGGGTTTATAGTGCGATGTGCTGCTGGGGAACTTGGCCAGGCGAGCTCCAATNNCCAATCAAGCCTGTGTAAAAAGGGCTTATAGGGTTTTGCAGCTTTCGTTTTACGATTTAGGGGTATTTAGGGATCCCGGCTTTAGGGTCTCAGGGCAGCCAGCTAAAATGGGGAGCAGATTGAGACACTTCTTACTACGGATGTTGTATTCTGGTATTAAAGAAGTGTTTGCACCAGGCGACGACGCATTTTTCAGTGTGGACCCTGCTGTTCTTTAGCAACCAGGGCAGGGGAGGGTCTTAGTCGGTTTCCTTCGTCCCAGAGACCTATATCTAGGACATTTTCAAATGGGGAAGTTACCGCTATAGGAGCCTTATGGAAGGTCTATATACCTTATGGAAGCCTTATAGAAGCCCTATATACCTTAACTCCCCACGTATAGTTTCCCTTAACTATAGCTTAACGTAGGGTAGCTAGCAGGGACGGGCTGCAGCTTGGCAAAACTGTCGGCAGCTCTAGGCATCCCCCGAAACTTGGGTGAGCCGACCAGAGCGACTACGATTTGCCATTGGGAATGCTTGCTGAGAGCATAATATAGGGGCCGTCATAATCACCTGTTTTTTTTTGGGGGGGAGGGTTCCTTATTATGGTATGATGGGCACCAAAACCCTATTCTAATTATTCAGGCCCCTACATTAGGTGAGATTGCTCACTGCTCTGAAGCAAGTACCACTGAAGGCCTCATGGGCCTAGGCCCTAAACGTAACTGACCTAACTCCGTGCCCCTGAACCCTTACCAAAAAAGCCCTTAAAGCCCTAAGCCGCTAAAGCCCCCTAAACCCGAATCCCTTCAACCCTAAAGCTCTAAACTCCAATTCCTTCCCTCAGCCCTTAAACCCTAAACCCTAAAGCCCCCAACCCCAAAAGCCCCAAACCCCAAAAGCCCCAAACCTTCAAGAGGAGATCTCCCCAAGAGCAGAATTTCCAGGCCCTTTTTCCTCGGAAGCCCCTCCCACCCGACTCCGGCACTGGATTTCGGGCTTTCGGCTTTTAGGGCTTCGGGGCTTCAGGTTTAGGGTTCAGGGTTAAAGGGTTAAGGCTTTAGGGTTCAGGGATCATGACCTTAAGATTCCAGCTTGCCCGCACACACCCAAAGCCCGTGCTGAAAAACGGTTTCGAGGATTTTGGAGTCCAGGAGTTTTCGGGCTTCAAATTTCGAGTCCAGGGGTGGGTTTGACAAGATCAATGGTTTAGACCCATGCGCCGTCCTGAAAAAAATGTACTGCTGCTTGAATCGGTATAAGGAATGAGTTCAGACATGAATGTTTCGGAAGCCAAGATTATCCGGCGCATTGCCCCGCACATCGTGCACGATGCCCAGGACGGTCAAGCCCATTCTAGGACCATGTCAAGGTTCCGGGTTTAGAGTTTAGGTAGGGTTTAGGGTTTAGGGTTTTAGGGTTTAGGGTTTAGGGTTTCGATCACCTCTGGACCCCGAAATGCAATGCTCTCGTAGGTGCTCTTGTTGTAGGATGCACAAGATATAGATATGGTCATCGAAAAGGACAGTGTCACCGTCCATGTCCTGAAGTGATGTTCTGGTAGTGGCGCAGTCAAAGCACATAAAGACAGGATTACCGTGAACATACAGCATTCAAGCGCAGTATAGGAGGCCCTCGAAACCCTCAAGAGAATGTTGGCCTATTCCATATGTTCAGTCCTCTAGCCAAAGCCCGTAAGCCCCTTAAACTTAAACGATAAACGTCACTAAATCCCCAGTCCACAACTTACTAGGTGCGTAGATAACCTTTAACCTTCCTAGGGGATGGTAGTGTAATCCAAATTCTGACAGTTAACCGTTCACTGCCTGTATATATATATATATATATATATATATACATATATACAGTATACACATACGTACACGTGCAGATAGACACACACATACATGTACAAAAATAGTTACGGAATTACATAAAAAAAACAAACACGCGCTAGCTAGCAAATAAGCAGCTATGGGTACAAAGGTAGTTAGAACAATGCATGACTTGAAACATGCCGAAAGGTAAAGTGGCACATGGAAGCAAATGAATATGCGCATACATGTATATACATAGGTAGACATGCATATGCTCCCGTGTGAATGTTTGCGTTGTGTATGGGTGTGTGAGTGTTTGTTAGTCTGGGCGGCAACCCATCTGTCTGCTTGTCTGTCTGTTCGAGTGGATCTTTCCTTTCGTGCCGCTATGTGTGTGTGAGGTGTGGGGGCCGGCAGCTTTTGGTCTAGGAAATGACCTTAGGCCGGGGATTCAAGAGGGCTGCAGAGACGACCAGATAGCGAGGAGAAGCGCATGCAGCAGTTTTTGCCCCTCTTGCCGGGCTATGCGACTTGGTGAGATTTTGCATGTACTGAAGCAACTGAAAGAAAGTTCAGGAACGAACCATACACCATGGCTGATCTTCAGTTGAATGTGTGTATACATATATATATATATATACACACACGCATATATATATATATATATACATGTATATATGTACGTCTATATATATATATATGTATACATATATATATATATATGTGGAGAGGGGCCTGACTAAGTCCCAAGCAAGGGCTCCTTCGTGTAGGTATACATTAGTGTATCCCAAAACCCTAGTCTAAGTATAAAGCTCCCTCAACTACTGAGTTGGTATCGAGGCGGGGCAAGCAGTCAGGGACGGGGAGTTCAGAATGATGCTAAGGCTGGAGGCTGTTCGGGTTTAGTTTAGGGTCTATTTGGGGTTTAGGTGCTCTTAGCATGTAGGCTTTAGGGTTTAGGTTTAGGGTTTAGACTTGAGTCCAGTAGCAAAAGGGGGTGTAGGGTAAAAGGTTTGAGGGTTTTTGTGGTTTGGTTCTCTTCCCTAAACCCTAAACCCTAAAACCCTAAATAAAGAGTTGGGTGGCGTTCTCTGGCTCCGGTCCTTGGGTTCGGCGAGGCTGCAGTTTCCATCCTTGCAACCTCAAGGATTGAGGGCTTAGGGTTTAGGGTTTATGAGGATTTAGGGTTTAGGGTTTTAGGTACTGGACATGCTGATTTCGTCGAAGGTTTGCTATGAGAAGCGTGGCTTCGGCTCACACAGCTATTGATCAAGCTTCGGAGTTTCAGCAGATGCGCAGCCCACCCTCGTTTCGGGCTGCGGGGTTTAGGATTTCGGGCTAAAGTTTAGGGCATTTGGGTTCAGCGTCAGGATGCAGAGTCTAGTGGCCAGCAATCCTGGCAATGGACAAATGCCTCCAGCTCAGGATATCGTCTGCCTTCAAGAGCGCCTTGGCAGATCAAACGCAGCCGAAAGATGTATATAGGTTGTGGGCTCGGATCCCTAAACCCTAAACTCTGAAGTCCTAGTTAGGTGGGAGGCAACAGAAACCCTACCCTTTGGGGTTTAGGGGTGTGTGGGGCTGTGGATTCGGATCGGGGCTTTCCATCCCCTAATCCCTGACTCTGGCCCGCCAGGTGCCGAGTTCAGGGCTGGGACTCGGATCTACATTAGGGTTTAGGGTTTAGGGCATGGTACAGTGTAGTTGTGCGGATAACTGATCAATTACCAGAACTTCTGTGTCTGTTTAGAAACAGTGTGCTTCACAGACTTGTCCCACCGACCACGCCAACCCGCACACCAGTCGTGAAGGCACCTGTACCGCGCCTTTGCGAGGTTGCCGGACTCGTTTCTACAACTCCAAACCCGAAGCCCTACGATGCACAGAGAAGTGTACCCCATAAGACATTGAACCCTAAACCAGAAACCCGAAACCCTAAACCCAAACCTTGCCAAAACAAACGAAACACCAGAATCCTGGCCAGGCTGACTGTCGCCTGGGGCCAGGACGACTGGGTTACTGCTCTAAAGGACTTCGCCAAGTCTGCTGGGCACCCTGGAATGAATTCAGGGATTGTTTTTTTAGAGTTTAGGGCTTAGGGGTTAGGGGTTAAGGAACCAAAACAATTCAGGGATTGTTTTTTTAGGGTTTAGGGTTTAGGGCTTAGGGGCTAAGGAACCAAAACAAGCACTCAAACATACATTTTTGGGTCCCTGTGAATGCTTCGAGGATGCATAGACTTCTGCAGATTAAGATACCGCACACTATTTGTTTGTATGGCCTCGTGGTGGAAAAGCCCCAGAAAGGACCCATCGGGGATGCTGCAAAACTAGGCCTTGTGTGCCTGTATACAGCCTTAGTTTGAGGTGTTTGTTTAGCCTTACCCCTAAGGGCCCAAGTGCCCAATGACCATACGTATACTCTCCCAAATACCAAACGAAATACTTACTATCCTAAACCCAACCCAACTATTGGGTTGTTGACAGTCATGCTGATCTACCACGAGCGCATGTGAGTGAATCCCACAGGCTGCGTTACTTTGCTTCCAGTGGGAAGTGGTCGCAAGACTGCAATCAGCCACGGTTTGTGCTTGTAGGTGTTTTCAACTTCGACGCAGCTTGGGTTTAAGAGCCAGGGAGCAGCTACAGTTTTCGGATTTTACTTCACCTTGCCCGAAGTGTTCCGAGCTTGTTTTCCGCGATGCATTGTTTCCTTGAGCTCCATGGGTTAAACTAGTTATCCGAAACCCCAAAACTCAGAACAAGCAAGGAGGTACAGTTGCAACATTTGCTGTTCCGTGGTAGTGATTAGTTCGCCGGCACGTCATACTACAAACAGCTGCGCGCTAGTATTGCTTTGCTTGTTACATGGAAAAATCAAAGGCAGCATTTTCTGGACCGCCACCCTAAACCCCAAACCCTAAACAACAAGCAAAACTGCAGATGGTGACCGATCCGACAGTGTTGACGGCGCATATCTTGGACACAGATACAGACACGCGCACATGCGCACACCCCGGCGTGCATGCATGCACACTTGCATGCCTACAGACATACATGAAGATACATGTGCACGCCGAGACACACACAGACACAAAAGCTTCATGGAACTCTTACCCACCAAGGCCCCAGAAGCCCCAATTAGGCCCCAATATAGGGGCCTTAATAATCTTAATAATTTGAATAGGGTGTCGGGGCTCACTATGCTATACTTCTATAATAAGGAGCCCCCCCAAACCCTGTTCTGATTATCAAGGCTCCTAAACCCTAAACCCTAAACCCTAAGCCCTAAACTCTAAACCCTAAACCCTAAACCCTAAACCCTAAATCCTACATTGGAGCCTTTTCTGCAGCACAGAGGCCGCAGTTTCCGGCCTTCTTTGCCGCCGCCGGCCTAGTAATCCTCTCGAAATACAACATCAGAAGGCCTGGGCGAGTTCGTTTAAAGGGTTTAGGGTTTAGGGTTTAGGGGGCCTGGGCGAGTTCGTTTAAAGGGTTCCTTTAAGGGTTCGATAAGGGGTACCATAAGGGTTTAGGGA